CAGCGTGCTGGGGCCTCTGTGGGCGAGCTGGGGGCCTCTGTGGGCTGTGTCCGGGGCCTCTGTGGGCCGCGTGCTGTCGCCTTTGCGGGCGCGCTTGGGGCCTCTGTGGGCGCGCATGGGGAGGCCCGCCGCCTGCCTTGATTTTTTCGAAAGGCAGGCGTATTTCTAGGAGGGGCTGGCAATATCGGGAAAGGGGCCATGACTTTCCTTAGAACAGGCCAGCCCGACGCAAAATCTCACGCCATTGGGGAGTCCACACGAAACTGGCTTCCTTTGGGAGCAACGTGAACCCAAGGTTCCTCCTAGAAACCAGCCAGCCCTCCGCAAAGCCGCACGGACTACGAGGAAGAAGTGCGCGCGAAACCACTGTCCCAGAGGGAACAACATCGGGGGGGGCCGTACGTCCTCCTAAAACAGACCAGCCCTGTGCAAAACAGCACGTAATGGGAACGACAGGCCCACGCGAAACCCGGCACCCGCAAGGAGCAACGTGAACCCGGGGTTCCTCATTCAAAACGAGCCAGTCCTTCGCGAAAACGAACGGAATCCGAGGAAGAACTCTGCGCAGAACCGCCCTTCCAGAGGGAAACACGTCGGGGGAGGGGAACCCATGGTCCCTCCGGATAACAAACCGACCCAGCGCAAAACATCACGTAATTGAGAGGGGCCCACAGGAAAACACGTGGACCCAAGGTTCCCCCTAGAACATGGCAGTCCTACGCGGGGCCGCACGGATTCCGAGGAAGAAATCCATGCGAGACCATCCTCCATGAGGGAGCAACGTAGGGGGGAGGAGCGCCCTGGCTCCTCTGAGAAACAGCCGGCCCTTCGCACAACCTCATGTCATTGGACCCATCGGTCCACGCGAAGGCGGCTTCCACAAGGAGCAAAGTGACCCAGGTAGCTCCGAGCAAGGATGTAGAAGGCCCCTCAGTGGGGGGCCGCGCTCGAAGACCCGCATTGGGTGAGCGATGCTCTCCAAGATCCCCCAAGAGGCTTTCCAGAGACTCCGAGGGCCAGTCAAAAGTACCCCACGGCCGAAGACCCTGAAAACAGCCCCATAGGAACCCAACACCTCAACAGAAAAGAAGGGCGCCCCAAGAGAGTCCCGAGGGAGCCCCAGCACAGGCACAATATCTATATATATGTGTGTGAGAGAGGGGACGATTGTGGTATCATGCGCGATCCTCCTCCTCCTCCTCCTCCTCCTCCTCCTCCTCCTCCACATCATCATCATCATCATCATCATCATCATCATCATCATCATCATCATCATCATCATCTATCATCATCATCATCAGAGCAGGGCTAGCAGACAGCAGCTAGCAGCCGAGCAGCCCAGCATCAGCAATCATCATCAACTCCTCCTCCTCCTCCTCATCATCATCGTCGTCATCGTCGTCATCATCAGCATCATCATCATCATCCTCATCATCATCAGATCATCACCACCCTCATCGACATTCATCATCATCAATGCATCATCGTCATCATAATCATCATCGTCACATCATAAGCATGGTCAATCATAATCATTACTCATCATCATATTATCTCATCATAATCATATTAATAATAATCATTACCATCATCATTCATCATAATCATCATCATCATCATCATCATCATAATCCATCGTCATCTTTTCATCTTCCTCTTCATCGTCATCGTCATCGTCGTCGTCGCGTCACAATGCCATCAAGGGCCAGAGCCGAAACCCATAAGCACCACATTCATCATCAACATTCACATCATCGACATCATCACCATCATCGTCGTCGTCATCATCATAATTACCGGACTCGCTGACCGGCACTGAACCATTTACCGGTTGACCGGTTGACCAATTGACCGGCTGACGGGCTGACCGGTTGACCGGCTGACCAGGTGACCAGCACGGAAACGTTGACCGGATGACCGGGTGACCGGGCGACCGGAACCGGTTGACCGGCTGACCGGTTGACCGGCTGACCAGGTGACCGGATGACCGGTGACTTGGTGACCGGGTGACCGGGTGACCGGGTGACCGGGTGACCGGGTGACCGGTTGACCGCTTGACCGGGTGACCGGGTGACCGGGTGACCGGGTGACCGGGTGAGCAGGTGACCAGGTGACCGGGTGACCGGCTGACCGGGTGACCGGCTGACCGGGTGTTCAGCACGGAAACATTGACCGGATGACCGGGTGACCGGGCGACCGGAACCGGTTGACCGGCTGACCGGTTGACCGGCTGACCGGGTGACCGGATGACCGGTGACTTGGTGACCGGGTGACCGGGTGACCGGGTGACCGGGTGACCGGGTGACCGGTTGACCGCTTGACCGGGTGACCGGGTGACCGGGTGACCGGGTGACCGGGTGAGCAGGTGACCGGGTGACCGGGTGACCGGCTGACTGGTTGACCGGTTGACCGGCTGACCGGTTGACCGGCTGACCGGGTGACCGGCTGACCGGTTGACTGGCTGACCTCATGACCAAATTGACCGGGTGACCGGGTGACC